AATAATTGGTAAAAATGAAAACTGTGACCGAAAACGCACCTTACAAAACTCAACGCGACGGCCATACAGTGAGAGGGAGGGAACGCGCCGGAAGATACTTTCACGTTAGAGAGAGAAAGTGATGATTATATTTGGAGAAGAGATCTCTGGGAGGGGAAGGAGGGAAAGGTCCAGAAGGTAGTTCCATGATTAGAGAGAGAAAGTGATGATTGTATTTGGGAAAGACATTGTTTGATACGTTTTTCGGTGATTTTGCCGCCTTTTCGTCTTCCCTCCGATTTTTAGTTTTGTTTGAAATGACGCGCGCTAGGTGGCCAATATTGGGCCGTTTTGTTGTCCAACGGATGTATATGGCCAGGTCTAAACTCAACTATTTGGGCCTGACATCTTGGGACAACAGGTTACTCACAAGTAGATTTTAGGCAGAACCATGTTATACATATTCACATTTTTATGTCAATTCCCATTTTTTGCCGATATTAGAGAATCTCCAATGGTAAAGTTATATTTTAATAGGAGTTACAGTGCCAAAATATTATGGGTGAAAAAAACTTGCCTTAGGCCACACCAGTAGGCCTCTCCTTTTTATGCTGATATGGACCAACAACAACTTAACATGTGTTTAAAAAATTAAAAATTAAACTTGAATCATGCGAATCTTTTCACGGGTCATCCAAAAAGAAATAAAAAAACTTTTCTCCGCGTTTGAGATTTTCTCCCACGCATGTGAGACCTGGTAGAGCTCTCTCTCGATCATGATTCCTTTTCTTCACACCAAATTGCCATTGATGCTCACCATCTCCCCCAATTCTGAAACCCTAACATCCATCATCTGATTCGCCAGCCCTTGTTGATCTCCTCCATTCTCGAACGTACCCTAATACTTTAATTGTCTGCCATATCTGTTGCAATTCTATCTCTAGAATGACACAAGACCACAACTATTCATATGAAAGAGAATTGACTTCTTTAAAAATTTCTATAAAATCAATTGGGGGTTGATTTACCATTTTTTTTTTTTTTTATTCCGACTATTTGTTTAGTTTCTTATGTAACAGATTGCAATATGAAGGTTTTTCTTTCCATTTTAACAGTTGGGTGATCTAATGCTTTGGTGTATAAATTTCCCTGGAAGGAAATTAATTTGTGGGTAAAAAAAAAGAAATCTGAAACGCAGAGAAAAAAAATCCTCTTTCCTTTTGGATGACCCATGAAAAGATCCGCATAATTGAAGTTTAATTTTTTAAATTTTTTTTGGACACGTGTCATGTTATTGTTGATCCATATCAATATCAAAATGAGAGACCTACTAATGCGGCCTAAGGCAAGCTTTGTTCAATGTTATATTTTAGCAATTCTACTTCAATAGTGCATTTCATCCAGCATGTTAATTGTGCTAACACTTTGTCAATTACTTTCCTAATTTTAATCAATTCATTATTGTTGTTTTTCCATGTGACTTTTCCGGCCCATATTTGCACAAAAAAAATTTAAAAAAAAAAAGACTTAGCACACCATTGGAGTGTATCAGAAATCAAAATTTCCTATATTTTGAGTTTGAAAGAGCATTGGAAACGCTCTAAGACATAACTCGTATCCAACTCAAATAAGGACTAAATTATTCAAATATTTTTCAAAGTGAGAAGTGATTTATGGATGGAATTGGGCACATAAATGAGATTTGGTAACTGTATTGTTGAGCTCCGATTATCATTAGGTTCGGGTCACATGTAAAAACCAAATGAATATCATGTTATGTGCACAAAATTTAAATTATATGCTTTTGTTTTTTGTACCTTCCCCTACCATATATGCTATCTTTTTATTCAAATATAGAATTATAATTAACTCATAAAAGAGAAAACAAAAGGAAAATCTGCTTCAAATGATGCTAAAAGCCAAGATGGCCACACCTCCCAAGCAAGATCACCTTGATTCCATTTAAAAACCCACTGCCCTATTTCATAAGCTACCCTATACAGCCTCTAGGAACCCAATTCAATGAAAAGCTAGTCTCATTCGAATCACCATAAACCATTTTAGCTATATCTTCTACAACAATCGTTGAGAAGGAATTTGGAGGGGAAAGGGACATAACACATTTATAGTCTCCTTCGACAATGGTTTGGGTGTAATCCCATACCTGTAAAAGACGTAACCCAAAACGAACAACCAAAGCTTCTGTCATGGAAACAAAGTGGACAAAATAAAAAAGGCATGAAACAACTCTCACCGGTCTGCCCCAAAAGTCTCTCAATATTAAACCTCCACCACATCTCTTGCAACAATTATCAAATGTTACATCACACTTGAGTTTGAACAACCCATGTGGCAGAGGGAACCTTGACACAGGCCTAGGAGAAGCAGCAGGCACTTCCACTGGCCTATCATATTTCTTACAAACTTCTCTGAATTCAACAAAATTGTCCATTGCCCTGTTCAAAACTTCTAAAAAGTTCGATGTCCTTGAGTTGGAGACTGATAAGTGCTTAAATGTTGCACATTTCAGCACCTAAGTTAGGGTATTTCAGTCTTTGCATTTATCTTAAGTTTATGTTTTAGTCCTAATTTATGTTTATGTGTATTTCAGGGCAATAAAGTTAAAATGAGCTAAGAACGGTCCAATTAAGCCTTTTTGGAGTTAAGCAAAGATTTTCAGAAAATGGCACAAAGCGGTTAATCTCGGGCCTTTAATGATGTTCCCAAAGATGGAGAAGCAAACCAAATAACCCGGGGCAAAAATGGAGCTGAATAAGGCTTAAAGGAATTTTCCAACTCTGGGAGATCAATCCCCCAGGGTGGGGGATCAATCCCCCAGGACTTGGCAACATTGCATATTTTTATTTTAATGTTTGGGCTTATTTTGTAACCTAGTGGGCTTTAATAGGTTTATTACTTAAGCCCAGTGAGGCCTATTGTTTTTAGGGTTAGTATTTATTAGTTTAGTGATTTATTATTTGGAGAATTAAGTTTTATTATTTTTTTTCTGTACCGTGATATTACGTTCTCTCTGGGAAAAAGGAAAAGCTAGGGTTTGAAGAACATTTTTACAGAGGCTTTGTTTACAAGTGAAGGAAGAAGAAGAAGGAGCCAAAAGATGGAGATGGAGCTTGTTGACACCATGATCATCTTCTCCATGAGCTAGTTCTTCACTTAGGGCTTGGATGAGCCCTAAGTTCATGTAACCCTAACCTTTGTATTTCTTTTCTTGGGGAATTATTATGTTGTAATTAAATTATATGGCCTTGTGATTTCTTTATATATACGTGCTTGATTTGATAAATTAGGGTTTGTATTGATAAATTCTTCCATTGAAATCTCCAATTGATTGTATGTCTATGTATGATTAATTAGGGATTTTATTCTTCATTAGATGATTAGAATTTAATTCTTCCATTGATTCTATATGAAAATTGCATGTCTAGGTGTGATTGATTTAGAATTATACTCTACACTAGATACTTCTTTTAGTTGTGTTTAGTGATGGTCATAGCATGAGACTTAGTTGATACAATTGTCAATTAATTTGATGGATAAATGCTTAATCATGATAGATTGTTTTACAAATTAGCTTATTTGTCATTAGTTAATTGTAGTAAAGTAGGCAATCTGTGCTTGATTATTTTAATCCATGCTTCTAATTACAATTAGTATTATCTTCTTGATTGATGTGTGCTCTTATTGGATACATTTGTGAATGTGTATGGTGGGTTATGACGTAGTCTTGAATGGGTTTTACACTTTAGTTTAATTGTCATTAGGTAGACAATTCATTCTTGATGTTGATAATCTATGCTTACAATTGTGATTTGTGATGATAATGTGACCACATCTATAATTACACTAATAAATTTCCCATTAATTGAAAGCATATGGTTAATTGCATGGGTTAGTGGTGAATCCTAACCCTAAGACTCTCTTCCTATCTCTTTAATTCTTAGTTTAATGTCATTTCTATTTTCATGCTTTTAATTGAATTTTAGTTTAATCACTCTACCAAAATATTTTTCTTTCAAACTCTTTCCCTCTTTCTCTCTTCTCTCTTTTACAATCTAATTAGCATTAAAATCAAGTTTAGTCCCAACACGTGTTCAATCCCTTGGGTTCGATCCCTTCTCACTTCATACTACATAGTATAAGTGTCTAGCGGTTTACAAATGTAAACTATGATGCCCGCTTGATACCATTTCCAAAACCAAAGTGTTGTGCATTATTTTGTGCACACGCTCGGGTCGCATCAGAGACTTCGTCATTTCGGCACTTCCATAGCTACCAGCATACAAACGCCCCCAAACTGAAGCACTCTATTAGATTATCAGATTTGTTCCAACTAGATAAGAGCTCTGACCATCTTTTCTTTCGTGAAATATCATTGCCTAGCGAGTTAGGCTTAAACAGAGATGTTTTTACCAATTTAGCAATTTCATAGTTAAAGAAGACATGATCAACAATTTCCTCTGACAATCCACATTGTGGGCATGTAGTGATGATTGAAATGCTTTTTTTTTCCATAAGTTACTCAATACTGAAATTTTGTTATGCGCGCACTGCCATAAAAAAGATTGGATCTTCCAATAGGACTTAAGCTTCCAAAGGTGTTCCCAATGGCTTTGGAATTCCATATCATGACTACACTCAGCACTTTCAAGGCCAGTATAGTTACATTTAAACTCATCAATCTCTATTAAAAGAGAGATTGTATGCACTTTTGACAAGAAAATTACCATTATGTGAAGGACCCCATATTTTAGAATCTTCCAAATTTGAAGCACTGATTAGCGTTTGAAGGATCAGTTTTGAATCTCGAGCATTAAAAATGCTCTAGATGAAATGAACCTTCTATGTCCTCAAATTTGAATTAATTAGATCAACAATTTTAGAAGGACTTCTTGAATTGCAGACAAATATGAGCCTTGGATTTGAATTGTCTGGCAACCAGTTGCTATTCCATCAGTCAACTTTAGAGCCAGTTGCAATTTTCCAATGGATTCCTCTTCGAATTAAATCTTTAGAGGTTGAGATACTTCTCCAAATCCAGGAGCTTCTTGATCCACAACTAGCTTTAAGAAATCACAGTATGGGAAATACTTTGATTTATAAATCTTGTAAAACAAGTATTCCTCTCCCACAACCAACCTCCAACCCAGTTTTGCTAATAAGGCAATGTTGAAAGCAACCAAAATTTTGAATCCCAATCCACCATCATTCTTATGGACACACAATTTCTCCCATTTAACCCATCGAATCTTGTCATTGTCCTCCTTTCTAGACCACCAGAAGGCAGACATCTTACTAGTTAGCTTATTACATACCGATGCAGTTAACTTAAAACATTGAAGAGCATAACTGGGAATAGAGGCAAGAGTTGCCTTGATCAATACCTCTCTACCAGCCTTGGACAACATTTCTTCTTTTAGACATTTGATTCAAGCTGAGATCTTTTCTTCCAAGAACTTAAAAGAGGTTTTCTTGGACCCTCGTAAAAATTCAAAATTTTCTCTCTTTTTGCACAAAACAATATGCTATGAACCTTAATTAGATCCCTACCTTATATATGTTAGTCTAACACGGGTGCCTATAAAATGTAGTGTGTGGATTCTTAAAAATAATTCCAGTTTTTTAAGATAATGACTTAAATCTAATGCATGTGAATTTAATTTAGCAAGCTTAAATGTAATTCAACTGGCATTGTAATCCGGTGATATCTCCTATATAGCTTTAAAAGTATATGGTGATGTTTTAAGACTTCAAGTCCTTAAATGGACAAATAAGTGTGTAAATTTTTTGTCAAGAATAATAAAAAATAATCATGCAAGCAGGTCCGCGGCATAGGCGACTTAGGCATCCCCTAAGCCTCTAATTTGGAAGAGACTAAAAATTTTAAATTTTTTTATATTATAATTATTTTCTAATATTACTAAAAACTAATCGGTATATAAATTTAAAACAGAGTTTCAAAAATTTATATCTTAAAATAAAATTTTATTTGAATTATAACCAATACGGAAATATTGGTGCACAAAAGATTTATATCCTTAAATGACTTCTTTTTCTTCTTCTTCTTCTTCTTCATTTTATTTTATTTTATTTTTTTATCCCTTCCACTCTTTACTTCTCATACAAAATCTTAATATTGATCCCAATGATTTATATACTTAAATATATATTTTTTTCTCTATTTCATTTGCATTTTTTACAACACTACTAAATTTTTTTCTTTTTCGGTAAGTAATACTCACCGTAAATATTAAAGGAAAATGCTATACTTTAAGAATTTTTATTTGTGATTTTATCTTGAATTAAATAGCTGTTTCTTTGGCTTCTTTATATATTTTAAAAGTAATTTTTTTTTTTTTTAAATTTTTGAAAAGACATACCCAACAAAGATATAGAGTTGTTGAAAACATAGGAAACACAAATGCATAAAAGTTAGACAGAGAAGAATTAATGTAATTATTCCTTTCTTTCATTTTCCTTCAATTGACAATTCTTATAGTTCAGTTTGCTAAAATATGAAAAGATTATAGTACAATATGTATTAAATTAGAGGACATTAATGTCTTTTTAGCTATTGTCACATCAGATTCAAGATCAAATCTCAAATTTTAATTCTAGATGTCTAAGCACTGTTCAATACTAAATATGTATTTAACCATTATTTGAGAAAAGTGGTGAAACTTTCCATATAATTTCTCTAGCTTTTATCTTTTATTTATTTATTTTTTTCTTACTCCTCACATACTTTATCTTCTCTCTCAACAAGTGGTTTTTCTCCTCACTCATTACAAGTTCATAGTTCTCTTTCTTCTCCACCCAATACTCACTACTCTCAATTTGAACATAACTTTATTCTATGGAATAATTTGTAAGAAAGTGATATTAGAAATACCAGAAAATAAAAAAATATTTTACGTCAAAATAAACGGAGCCTAAATCAATATCTATTTTTGATAAACTTTCTAAGAAAGTGATATTAGAGATACTCTACCGCTCCACCCATAATTTTTATTAAATTGAATTGACTGAAAAACTCCTCTTTTCTCTCTCTTCATCTCTATAATGTTTTTTTATTTTTTCAAATTATGAAACAAAGCAATAAAATGAAGAACAAACTTTAGATCTGTGGAGAAAACAGAACCTAGACTTTGTAATGGAACCATCATGGGAGAAACGCAGCAAACTAGAGTGACCTAAAGGTCAATTAAGTCATCATCAAGGCAACAGCTCTAAAACTACAGTCACAAGGCGCTCCGACACCCAAAACCCTACGCAAGATCAAATCAAGGTGAAAAAGATTAAATCTAGCGGGACAAAACCAAAACTGAGCTAAATCAGAGATATAACCGGAGAAAAACAACAGATCTGCTCATGTAAGCCGAAAACGAACCAAACACGAACAGATCTAACCAAACACGAACAGATCTAACCGAATAAAAACAAAAAACGACGTAAAAAATACACACGAAACACACTTGTTGATAAAACGTCGAGTTTATTACAAGCAAATAAAAATGGTGACACAGCCGTCACAATCACCTTATCAAATAACATAACTGGACCTACTCACCATTGATACGAATTTCACGCAATTTGTAATTCAAAGCTCGATGTGAATGGCATTTAGTAACATCATGATGAAATTAATTGTAAATGAAATTGATAATTTGAAGTTTCAACTCAGTTATGTAACTTTGCTTTGGATTTGCCAAATCTTTCTACACGTTTATGACAATTGGCTTTATATTTGATTATTTATAGGTTTTTCATATAATAAAAAATATATATATATAAAGAAGTGGATGAACTGCTAATGGAGAACCATACAGAGATAGGAGAATGGATAGAGGAGAGAAGAATCAAATTTAATAGACCTGAATATTTTCAGTGATTCAGTGAAAAGGTAGAATCAAAAGGCTCAAGAATACTACTGTAAAATTGAGGCTCAAGAATACTACTTCAAAATTGAAGCTTTAAAAGGGAAAGGGGTGGTTGTAGGGATAAGTTAGAAATCGTGGTTGAAGGATTCGAGGAGATATGCATATGAAGGAGAGAAACCACTTTGAATTACATGTCTTTTGCATATAATATATATTGTCTTTTTGTTATAGCAAAAATGAGGGTGGAGCATCAAAGCATTTACTTAGTGCCAAAATCACCATCCTTCTAACAATAGTCCTGTTCAATTATTTATTACGGAAATTTATAAAATAGAGAGACTTACAAGTCCACCCATGTTATTATAAAACATATATAGGATGTGGTTAGGGGCGGGGTTAGTGCTTTACCTACTATGATAAAGAGTTTGTATAAAAATTTCTATGCAATACCTCTTAAAATTTTTAACACTCATTTCTAGACAACGATTTTTATTCACAGTTGAATGTGATAAAAAATTACTCCGTATCTTTTTCCTCCACTTATTCTCGTTGTGAATTGTGATAAGTGAATAGTATCGATATAGAAGGTGGAGGTTTAAACTTTTATATAAATATGTGAGTGTGTGAATTATTGAAAAAAATAAAAAAATATTAAAAAAAAAAATATATAGGAGTCACCTGTGGGCTCCATCCACCACCATGGTAGGTTCAGAGGTTCAGAGATCACCGCTCCAGCACAGGCAAAATCCCCGAGGGCTATTACCTAAAAGATTTAGTTTTAATTTTAAATGAATAAAAGTAGAATTTATTAATTAAAGCGTCAAAAGTCGCATAAAATTACGATTACGCCACCAACCAAAAGCAAAAACGGCAAGAAAAGAGGAGGAAGGCGCTCTAGAGTGAGAATTTAGGAAGGAAGGAAGGAAGAAATATACATTTTATAGAGAGAGGAAGGAGCTCAACGAACCGTTGAAACGAATCAAACCGACTTATAACAATGGCTATGTTTCAAAATTTGTGAATTCAACTTATTTTCCATGGAGTTACCCGGTAGACGATCGAATTATACTCTACTGAGTCAGATTCCAGACGACCACCAGCAGCAGCCGAAGTTCTCCGCCGTATCCGGCGGCGTGCCTTCGTACTACGAGTCTCTGTCCGGCGACAAGAACAAGGGAAAGAACGATAGAGGCTTTGACTGGGACCTGACGGATCATCGGATGATTCAGCAGCAGAATCGGATCGGGTCGGCGGCGTTTCCGGTGTCGATCGGGCTGCAGAGGCAGTCAAGCGGGAGTAGCTTCGGTGGGAGCTCGCTCTCGGGGGATTATTACGTCCCGTCGTTGTCGATGGCGGCCAGCGATCCTGACGGGTTCGGCCACTTGCACGATGATGTGTTCAAGATTGGCGGTGGCAGTGGCGGTGGCGTAGGGGAATTGAGGTTTAAGTCGGTGGAAGCAAGCGGCGGTGGCGACGGAGGGTCATCGTCGTCCAAGAGTTGGGTGCAGCAGACGGAGGAGAGTTACCAGTTGCAGTTGGCTTTGGCTCTTCGGCTTTCTTCGCAAGGTACCTGTGCTGACGATCCCAATTTTTTGAATCCGGTGCTGGATGAATCCACATCAAGATCATTACCTCTGTCCGCTTCAGCAGAGGCTATGTCACATCGATTTTGGGTAGGGTTTATCGTGCTCTATTTTCCACTGCCTATTGTTATTCTTTTAATTCAAACCATATTGGAAGACTTCTTAGAAATTTTTTTCTTTCTATACATTTTATGATTAATGCGGAGCATTTGGTTACCCAAATGAGGCTGCCATGAATTTATTCAATGATCGTACTCTAAATAGTTTCTAGTAGAATGGATATGCAAATATTTCAGATGTGAGAGTGAACACAGTTTTATGGATGATGGGTTATGTTCAGTAGTGGTTGTGAAGGATAGTGAGTATGAATTTAAAACTAAATATCTTGGTCCGAATCCTTGTCAATTTCGCAATAATTGCTAGTATAATAACTTGTGGATTTTCATTTCATTGAAACATTCTTACTTAATTGTCATAGGAACTTATCACACTAATTTACTATTTCATTCTACCCATCAAAAAAAAATTTTACTATTTCATTCCATTAATTTGCTTAGCAATCTGAGAGGAAAAAATTTGAATTCTTGAAAATGTATTGTTTGATGTCTAAAGATTGATAACTTTCCTTACTCTAACTCAACCCATAAAAACCTTCCCAACTATTCGGGCTGTTTGGTTATATGTCTTGTTTTGTCATTTGACTTTATTTGGGGTTATAACTAAGACATATGGAACGGAAGCGAGAGCGAGTGCTAGAGCGGGAGAGCGCAAAATCTAAAATTTAGTCGGAGTTGGGAGCTCTTTGAGAGCGTTTGTACACTTGTATGCTATTGTGTGTGTAATTTTTTAATATATATTTTTTAATACTTGTACATATGCTAGAGGTTATTATATATTTGTGAAATAATAAAAATGTAATTTCATAAGCACTAGAAAATGTGTTTGAGCTATAAGAAATCTTATTTCTTCTATGTTAGGAGATACATAATCTTAGTAATAATTAAAATACAAAATTATAGTATGTTTTTAATTTTTTTAAAAAATGCAACTATAGAAATCTATATATTTATTTTAGATTCTAAAGAGATACTGTTTAATTGTTCGTACATGAACTCATTACTTTAAAGAATTAAATAAACAATAAACTTCTAAACTAAATAAAGGAGAACTTAAAATTATCTATATAATTTGTTTGCAAATATTTTTGTGTCTATACAATGCGCGCACACACACATTTAATATTTTTAGACTTAAATAACAAATCAAAAGTGATCAATATAAAGTGGACATCAATATGGCATGGATTTGTTCTTTAATATTGTAGGTTTATTCTTAGTTCTGTACATTTTTAACCATTTTTATTCAATACTAGATATATTTTGATAATTGCCATCCATAATAAATGTCACATGTTGTCCATAATTCAATGAATGAGAAATCGTTGTGAATTTGAGGATTCACAAATTGAATTCGAGGATTGAAAAAATTGAATTTGTGAATTGTGGAAGAATTTGCTCTCAAAGCGCCAATTCGAGCATGGAGCGTGAGAGCGGCACTCCTTTAGAAGGATTGTGTGAGTTAGGGTTATAACTTCTATTAGACTACATACACTATTGTCTTTTTGTTATTATTTCAAGTCATGTTAAGTGTGGGACTTTCATCTTTTTCTTACTACTCCACTTAATGTAACAGGATGTGAATGTTAAGATGGTTACACGATACTTTGTCTTGTAAAGCATGAATGGTTATAATTAGGTTTTTTTATTAGTAAATGGTTTATAAGTAGATATCATGTCATAATGTCATATGCTAGACTCCTCCACGTAACCTATCATGCTTCAATTCTAGGAGTAATATCATCTGCAATCTTTGCTTCTTGTAAATAATTGAGACCAGGTGGCGAAGTTTCTCACTATTTAGTATTTACTACTCTCTTTATCTTTGATCTTCGTCGGATTTTTCTATTTCTTATTAGGTTAATTCTTCTTTCATTACAGAGTTTCTATAGAAGTATTTAATTTAGTGTATATCCTTACTTTAATTTCATCATTTAAGAGGATATCATCAGCAGATAACGTACATCATTTAGTCTCATTCAAAGCGCGTTTTGTTTGATTATGAGACAGAAATATAGGGGTTGTGGGTACCTAAGCCTACGCTACTCGTGTTGATGAGGTGACATATAACGTGGTGCTTTTGTGGTAGCCTATATGAAACTTTCAAATGCCACGCGACATCTTCCATATTAGTCTGTCATTCCTGTTGCTTGACTTGCATTCTCCACAAGAACAATTTATAAGGTCCTCTTTAAATATGAAATAAGTCGAACCTCCCTGAAACATCACATAGCTAAGTCCCATGGCGTTGAACCATTGGATGAGGCAAATCCGTGCACTCTACAGATGAATAACTGTCGCCGCAATTCAAAGAAATTCAGCCTTGACAATTTCTGATTTCCGATCGCCTTATCAACGAGATAATTTTTTCCAACAAGGTTATTCCTTCAGCTGCGCAACCTATACTCTCCATAACCAACTTCTTGTCTTCATTTCATTATGTCTCACCTTCTCCACATACACGTTTTTGGTGAGGTTTGGCTATAGACAAATCCGCTTCTTTCTCCACATGAATACGTATGATTTCTCCAAGGTTCAATATCAGTCTTCTTCACAGACCAAATCATTGCCACCTCCATAGGCATATATGCTGTATTACGAGGTTTTAATGAACTACTTTGGTTTGCCAAATCTGCCTCACATACAAACAATTCATCATCAGTGAGTTTCAGTTGTGCACCAATCTGATTATGCAATTTATTTATTTTTCTTACATTTGACCCAAACACCACAAGGGCGGGAATTTTGTGCATTAGGCTAGCCCTTTTTTAATCCCATTTGATGAAGGCCGCTACGCCCTAATGTACCTTTGTGCAATGGTTGGGTCGAGTGGAACTTAGGGGGCCTCTGTCGGTGCTTGGCTATTGGAATGACCCATCTCTAGTCATTCGGATCATAGGGGTACTAGGCCTGGTTGTTGAAGTCTGGTCCCTATTGAGTTAACCTCCCTGGAAGTCTGCCTAACTTGTCTTATTGAGAAAGAAATATCGTGTGGCTCTCAAATGACGTATACCCTCATGACATGCCAACACCTTATTGGACCACACCTGTTACATGTGGCATCCTATTAGATTGGGCATGTAGTATACCTCAATGCAGGCATAATCACCTCCTAGCATTTGTGATGAGCTTGATTGTCTCACCCCCTCTCTTACAAGTCAACCTCTACTTTCAACTAGCCTAATACACTTAGAACCTCCATCTATTAGTGAAGAGAAAAAAATCTTATTCTACATATCTTAGGAGCGAGTCGAATTGTGTAATACCTCTATTACTTACTCATTCGCAGGTAGGGGCTTAATGACGATCCTTGATGCAAGCCTACAATGATTGGGAATATGCTTCTTTCTCATCCAGTCATTTTTAATATAGTCATAGTTCTATCACACTTTTCATATATCATTTCAATTTATCTTCACTCTTTTTTTGTTTGTTTGTTTGTTGTGAAATCCAACATATTATATTTTTATGTTTCCATCATAGGCTTTCTCTAAATTTAACAAAACCATATTATGCTCATGAATTCCTTTTTTTTTTTGCCAAGTTTTCTTGTAAAGAAAAAATATCTAATCATCATCATCCTTGCCTTATTCTCACATAAATGGGGTTGGCCACATGAATTATGTCTCCATTCCTTTCTGTTACCCGGCATCCCACATACTGTGTTTTAACTTTTTAAAGTCATTTTTAATAACTTCATTCCACGTTAATTTCGATCACTTTCTCAGTCTCTTAACTTCTATGAAAATTAAACTTTCTCTTCTCACTGGCACATCTATAGGTCTCCGGTGCATGTGCCCAAACCATCTAAGTCTACTCTCTTATTTTCTTGTTCATGGATGCAACACCTAATTTTTCTCTTACACTTTCATTTGTGACCCTATTGTTTCTAGTCACTCCAACCATCCATCTTAGCATTCTCAATTCTGTTATCTGTTTCTTTTTTTAAAGCCCAACACTCCGCTCCATAAAGCATAGTTGGCCTAATAATGGTTCTATAGAATTTTCGTTTTAACCTATGTGATATTCCACATAAGATGCCACTAGCTTGTCTCCATCTTTTTAATTTTTTTTATAACCAAAGAAATGGAGTAGACATAGTGGTAGATCATTGCATGAGAGAGTCGAGAGACAACGTAGTAGAAGTAAGGAGACACGGAGATAGATTAATGGGTATTAAAATTGTCCTAGATGAACATATTTTGAACATAATTAGTGTGCATGCTCCTCAGGTGAATGGCTGCCTTTCATACTTCGACAAAGTTCCTGATGGATTTTATTTAATTCGTGGGATGGATCCATTTGTATGGACTATATGCACTGATCTACAAGAGAGTGGCCGTATTCCATCAGTTGAATCACTAAAGGCTGTTGATCCTAGCACAAATTCTTCAATTGAAGTGATTTTGATTGATCGGCATAGTGATCCTGGCTTAAGGGAACTACAGAACAGGATTCGCAGCGTCTCCTCTGGTTGCATCACCCCAAAAGAGGTTATTGATCAGCTTGCAAAGCTCGTCTGCAATAGTATGGGGTGAGTATCTGACAATTCCTATACTCCTATTTGAGAATCCCAAAACTATCTGTTCTGTTGTAGTTTTGTAACCAAGTTTTCTTGCCATCACAAGGGGTGCAGCTTCCACTGGAGAAGATGACTTTGTTCCCATCTGGAAGGAATGCAGTAATGATCTTAAGGATTGTTTGGGATCTGTTGTGCTTCCAATTGGTAACCTATCTGTTGGCCTCTGCAGACATCGTGCTTTGCTATTCAAGGTATGTTTCGGATTCCATAATGTGAAATCACTTTGCTTTGTATAATTTTGAAGTCATTCCAGTAGAAGGTATTTAATACCTTCATTTCACCCAAGTTTTTGTCCTTCCTGTGTGCTAAATTATTATTTTTACCCAATCCCTTATTTTCTTCATGATAAAAAAGCCATATATATATATATATATATATATAAAAGTAAATTGATTGAGAGAGGAATACTATTCCCTCTGGTTTGAAGGTACTGTCTGATGTGTTTAATGTGAATTTCAAATGTGATTTCTGCAGGTGCTAGCTGACACAATTGATTTACCATGTCGAATTGCCAAGGGCTGCAAATATTGTACAAGAGATGATGCTTCTTCTTGTCTTGTTCGGTTTGGGCTTGACAGGTATACCTTGTTAACTGCTGTGGCATTTAATTTCATTTTTATTTTGGGAATTGGTAATAACTGAACCCAAAACCATATAAGGTTGGATGCCCATCCAATGTGTTTTGGTGGTGGCTATGGCAAATAGCATTCTATGAATGTTGTAAACTATATTCCCACGGTCAATAAAGGTTCATTTAGGAGATAAAGTGTGAAAATAATGCAATTTATTTTGGGACAATATTTGCACAAGTAGTATCTTTTTGAATGTTGATGTTTTTCTATTTTGGATTATTTTTTATAGCTCACTAGAGGAATGACACATACTATCCTCATGCACCTTTGCTTGCATTATTTCTCCATTCCTTTAGTTACCATCAGTTATATTCCTCTCTCCAGAAACTTGTGGATAGTTGAAGTTCTGCGTGATGTGGCACAACTGACTTTCTTAAGTTACTAATGCTGTGGCATGTCACATTAGCATTTTAAATAAAGGTTGGCTTGGCGTGGTAGTATAGATTCCCATGAGAGATTATTTATGTCTTTTTATATGATTTAGTTGTTGGAGTATTGAACAATCATATAGGGTGAACAAATAACTCTTTGTAGCACGACCATCATATTTGAGTTTTGAGGTAATCAAGCTGGATTTTGTGATCTGACTTGAATATATAGTGCTCTTACTTGAGAGAACTATTTATTGAAATATTTGAAAGTGAGATTTTAGGGGGACGGGGATTGGCAGTTGGGAATTCCTCATGCATTATTTGTCTTGGCAGCAAAATTTTTTTCTTTCCGCCTCTTTTATTTCAAACCCCCCCCCCCCCCCCCCCCCCCCCAAAAAAAAAAAAAAAAAATCTTCAACATTTAATCTGTATTATTGCAGAGAGTATCTAGTTGATTTGATTGGGAAGCCAGGATGCTTATGCGAGCCCAATTCTTTGCTAAACGGTCCATCTTCAATCTCAATTTCATCACCATTGCGCTTCCCACAGTTCAGACAAGTTGAACCTGCAATTGATTTTAGGTCACTGGCCAAACAGTATTTTTCGGACTGCCAATCACTCAATATTGTATTTGATGATTCTTCCACAGGTGATTTCTAATCTCTCTAGTTTTTGAACATTATTGCCATAATATGCTGACTTGTTTTCATATCTTTGGACTTTTTCTTTTTTTCTTTTTTGTTATTTTTATAAACAGTTTTTCATGATAGTATGTAATAGCTAAGCTGTTTATATCTTTTAGAATTGCCTTTATTATGTGCCATTTGATTAATTCCCCACTGGCATTTATCCACACAGAAGATGAAAAGTTTAATCAATTTTAATTATTATGGAACATTGGTTTGGATTTTGATTTAGTATATATTTATAAATATACATTTGTGTTCTCTGAGCAACTTCCTCTTTATTTTTCACTCTGCAAAGGGGATGGAAATTTTTTCCTTACATCAATATGTTCATTCTAGAGATGGAACATTGTCATATGACTCATATTTAACAATATAAATAAGAAAGCGAGAATCTTAGGCAATGGAGGCGCTAGGATTGCAATGCTAACTACTGTCCAGTACCTTTGATCGGTATGTTTCTCTGATCAGTTGGGTTTGGTCGAGGCTTGGGCCTGATCTATTGTCGTGCAAGGTCTAAAGCTCACATGAACACTAACGTGTTGGGTTTGAGTCCGAGTCCTTGGAGGACCAGATCTGTTATGGGTAAGCACTGGTCCGCATAATTTTTTTATATTGGATCAGATTTGCCATGGTGGACCTGCAATGTAGTAGTTTAACAATTACAGATGCTCAATACATTTTAACTTCTTTAATTTTTTAACAGTTTATATGTAAATTTTATTGTAAATCTTTGCTGTTGCAATAGTCAAGTTTTTTTGGGGTTTCTTTTTCTAAGAAGTCAAAATCTAAATATTCTATGAGGGAACTACTTATTGCTTTTCGACTTGTACTTGTGGGGACCATAAATTACTGAAAATAATGGGTCTCTAGTGATTTATGTCTCTATCTCTCTCTCTCTCTTCTTCACACCAAAGGGATCCCACCCTTTAGGTGGGACTATTCTTCACAGTACACGGCAGGTTCCAATGCCATGCGCCAATTTTAGTCCAGGGAGAATCCCTGTGAGGCTGGTCTCAAGGGGGGGAGAATCAAACTCAACTTTTTTAGGCTAGGTACTTGGCCAATGGTTCCACCCCCTTGGGGTTAAGTTGTGTCATTATCTACCTCAAAAGCATTCTAAGAGGATTGTTGCTGGATGGACAATGAACTCAATTTATCACCATACATTTTTAGTTTTTTCTGCAGTTTGGACGTTAAAGAGTCAATTTAATTAGTTTTCATAAGGGGAAATAACCTGTAAATATATGGGGATTCGGGACCCAAAATTTGACTTACTGGAACAATATTCTCTTGAAAGCCAGATAATCCTATAATCCTCACATTTTGGCAGATCCACCTAGTAGACAATTAAACAATAAAACACTTGCCTTCTAGAATTCCACTGACGGTACTGTGGATTTGTACAAGTTAGTCTGATATAATTAAGATAGTTCATGTTACTTTTGTTAGTTATATCCTACTTGAACTAAAAGGCTTAGTTAATACATCATTAGCCTATATTTGGTATATATTGAGTTTTTGAGGATTCCGAAAATATCACAGGTACTGTTATCGATAAAGATGCTGGAGACTCCATGCATCCTGATTGGAAGGGCAAAGATAGAAATAACCTTGTGCCTGATTCAAGCAACAGCGATGAAATTTCTCGTTTACTTTCGCAACAAAAAGTCGTCTGGCAAACTGCTCGTGATAGAGATTTACAGCAGTTCAAATCACCTAATCCTCATAATATCATAAACTCAAAAAACATAGCCAAAGATCCAGTCCCTCTAAAGCCGATACCACCAGTCGTGCATAGAGATGTTCAACCACTAATGGCCTTGTCTGATACGAGGGTAGACACAGTTAGAGATTCGAGGTTCATTGAGGGAGTTCAACTGGTTCCAAGTAAACCAAGTAGAGAAGTTGCCCTTGACGTGGAAGAATTTGACATTCCATGGAGTGATCTTGTTCTGAAGGAGAGAATTGGTGCCGGTAATATTTCTTCCCAAATTGGAACTTGTAAGAACGTTGCCAGTGCAAATATGATAGGTGTTTTTAGTATAAGGGATGCAGTGTAACTTTATCACGATTGAATGAAGTCAATTACCTTGTAGAAAAGATATACTGAAACAATATGATGGATTTTCAGGTTCTTTCGGTACTGTCCATCGTGCTGAATGGAATGGTTCGGTAAGTAATTCATCTTTTTTGCTAAATCAATTTTGAAACTTATTCATGCACAGACATCTGTTTGATTAGTAGTAGTACGCTAGTATATCACTTGGGCACTATCTTATTGTTATCTATAGCAGAAAACTATGTGTTTGCTATTGCTACGGGGTTCATATTGATCAACGATAAAAGTGGAGCAATTCACATTCTTGACTTGCAACTCAAAAACTTCCTTTGGTTTCTTGTCTGATTGTTCTACAATAGCTACTTTTGTTATAAGCCCTTTTTTAAGTTCCATTTGACTAATGTTTCAGGGTGTAATCCCTATTCTGTGCCTTTGCCATACCACGGTTATCACCTAATCTTATTTTCAGAGTTGAACTGTGTTGGCATTTGACTAATCCAGAACATTAGTATATCATTTGACTAATGTTTCAGGGTGTAATCCCTTTATAAAAAGCTGCAACTTTCAGGATGTTGCTGTGAAGATTCTCATGGAACAAGACTTTCACGCAGAGCGATTCACAGAATTTTTGAGGGAGGTAAGCGTGGGCTAACGTTCTGGATGAGTTGGGTTAACTTGTGGAATATTAGCTGATTGAAGAGTTCTTTAAAAAAAAAAATCTTGTTACTGCTAATTTTTTATTCTGCTGATTCGGTTTGCTAGGTTGCAATAATGAAACGCCTGCGGCATCCAAATATCGTTCTTTTTATGGGTGCTGTTACTCAGCGACCAAACTTGTCCATAGTAACAGAATATTTATCAAGGTTTTGTAATGTCTCCTTAGATTCCAGCTACTTACTATCAATTATAGAAAAATCAGAGATCAGTAGTACCTTAAGAAATTCTGACTGATTAACTAACTATATTATTGTCATTAAACTACAGAGGGAGTTTGTATAGACTTTTGCATAAACCTGGTGCAAGGGAAGTGTTGGACGAGAGGCGTCGTTTAAGTATGGCCTATGATGTTGTATGTATCTGACTTTTACTAATACACTCACACCACACATTTTGCTTATCATATCCCCCAACTCCCCCTCCCCCTCCCCCTCCCCCTCTTTATGGGCATCTTGCTTAATCATCAGAACCATAATCGTCATTTTTTTGGGGGGGTTACATTCAGGGGGTATTTGTACTTTCACACTGTTTTGGGCTTAATGATTTGCTACTGTCTTATATAGGCAAAAGGAATGAATTATCTTCACAAACGCAATCCTCCTATTGTTCATCGAGATCTGAAATCACCAAATCTTCTAGTTGACAAAAAATATACAGTGAAGGTAAGAATAAGCATCTCTTGTCAAAATAAATTCAGTTATTGTTTTGAGGTTAATGTGGATTTAGCTAAAAATGTGGGGGTGTGAAGGGAATCAGCAAGGCATTATTCTGCGTGTCTTACCTACGCGGGGCCTGTGAGGGGAAACACTGGATAGACCTTTAATATGAGAATCATGAAATCCGTACACATTATATTTTTACGACTGCTAGAAAGTAAGATCTGATTTATGAATGTCAAGGTAGTGTTGAATCTTCAGTTATATTATTGCTCACCTGTGGCTGCGAATCTGTGGTTTATGGGTGAGTTGGTGGCGGGGTTAGGCTAGGTGTATTTTTATGATGATGAGTTTATTTTTGGTACCTGACATTATTACATCATCTCTTTTTCATCTATGTAATATGTCAGCCATATTTAGGTTCTAGTAATTCAAACATGGGTTATTTTGTTAACAAATCGGCCAAACAATAACATGCTGTTTTTATATTATTTTCCCCTTGCTTAAGGTGCACTATTGATTGCTGAACCATGTAGATCTTGCCATGTGACTGTCGTGCCCAAAAAATCTCTCATGCTTCCGTGATACGAATTTTTTTTTTTTCTTCTAGTAATTGAAATGAATACTTGCCACAATTCTATAAAATACTACTTTTCTTTTGGTAATTATAAAATATTACTCATTTTGAAGTGGAAATATGTTTTGATTTACATTTTTCAATTAAAACTGCATCAAAATTTTTAATGCATTATAATTTATATTTTTAATGATTGATATTCCACTTCCAACTGTTTTTCCTTTACTGTTGGGTCCTATATTTTTTTGAAGTTTGTGTTCCTCTTTCCAAGAATGCCATTAGTCCTTCCTGATGTTCTTTTAATACAGGTTTGTGATTTTGGTCTTTCCCGTCTAAAAGCAAACACGTTTCTTTCATCAAAGTCTGCAGCAGGAACTGTGAGTTCTGTACTTAATCACGACATATATGTTTATTTTCTGATAGAGAGATAGATTCTGACACAATAAAATTTTCTCAATTCCTTGGTTTAACAGCCTGAATGGATGGCACCGGAAGTTCTCCGTGATGAACCATCAAATGAGAAGTCCGATGTATACAGCTTTGGTGTGATTTTATGGGAACTGGCAACACTGCAACAACCCTGGGGAAACTTGAATCCAGCACAGGTTTGTATAATTTTAGTTATATATTGCTGAAATGCTGGAAACAGAGTTTAAGATATTTGTGGTTGTGGTTGTGGTTGATGAATTTGTTATGCATTTGGTGAGGGACTTGGATATATTGGCGGCCATGAAAATGTGTTGAGAACATTATTGCAAGGTATAAATGAGGTCAAATGACAGAAAATTGAATCTATTAAAGAACTTAACTTAAATGGATGACTTATAGAAACTAAAATAAATTGCTTAGCAGCATGATGATTACAATTTTGAGCTGTACATATTTTTCCTTTTTGCCACTTTTAAGATGATATCACATGAATTTGCAACTGAATCCCGAAACTCTTTACTTTTAGTTGAAGTAATATTGCGACACTTGCATGGTTAATGCATTACTGTTTTTTCTCTGTGCAAAAAACTTGGGTTTCTATAATATCAAAGGGTAGGTTGTGAAATTATTATTTGTACAGGTATGTGTTCATTGTCTGATTCTAAGTGGTCAGTGATAATTGGTTGCAGATTACTTTCTACTTTGTGTGAAGAATACTGTAAAGGATGCACAAGCAATGTTTCGCTGAAATTCACATGAAAATCATTGAGCAAAAACTCATATTTTCTACTCTTCTTTCACCATGTCTCATCCCAACTTTTTATTTGTTTTTAAGTTTGCATACTCGGATGCATGTAAAATAGTGCCGAGCTATAATTTTGATAAGTATTTCAATCTATACTGAATTGAAGGTGGTAGCAGCTGTTGGTTTTAAGTGCAAAAGACTTGAGATTCCACGGGACTTAAATCCTGAAGTAGCTGCCATGATCGAGGCATGCTGGGCCAAGTATGTTAAAATTCTAGTTTCAGTTATCAAGTTCCATGGTCTTATCTTTTCCTTCAATATGATATTTCTTTTTACTAACATATCTTTTGGTTGTATTCCAGTGAGCCCTGGAAACGTCCTTCTTTTGACAGTATCATGAAATCCTTAAAGCCATTAATTAAACCTCCCACCCCTCAACCAGTTCATGCAAACATGCCACAACTCCCGTGAGATGGTGCAGAACACTTGGAAAGTTTTTGTTGTGCATATATATAACATTCTTTTCATGTTTCTGATTTTTGGCGGAGAACGCTGCTCATATAACTCAGGTGTGTATCTCTGCAGATTGGCTCCATAAAATCTTTCAACAGATTGTTTGTAAGCCACTATTTCGTAGCTATATTTCACTGCGAAAGAATTGGATAACTTGGAATGTTAGAACAGTTTCCCTTTCCCATTTTAAAAGTTTAATAGTACAGTATAAAAACATGGCCACTAAATGAAGTTTAACTGCATCATTATGATAAATGGCCTGAACCCTGAAACTAAGCTTCATCTCATAGTCACGCGCGTGAATTGCCGGGGATGTATCTAAGTTGATATCTAGGTTGTAGGGCACATACCACGCAGATGGGACTGTGACATTATAGTTGCCATGGCCTAACCGTTGGTTTAATTTAGGATTTTTGGAGTCCTTCAGATGATGTACAACTTCTTTGCCATTTTCTAAGTATTTTTTATTGATTTTTGGTTATATTTTTTGGTCGATTGATAATATCTGTGTTCAAATTCATGATTTATTTTTATATGATTTTTTACAGGATTATTGTTGTACATATCTGTTCAAATTGCCTCTCAGGATGTAGGAATAATTATTTTTTCTGCGATCCAAGAAGCTGCCGTAGCCCCTACAGAATATCAATATCTGCATTTCCTACTGCGTTTTCCTGTGAAATATTGCGTTGTCAATTGATCTTCTCAAAAGACAGCATGGAGATTTTGTGCATTCTGTTCACAGTATTTTTGTATGTATGCGTTAGTATAACTGGAACCAGCTTCACATGGATCAACTCTAGTGGCATTTTAGACTTCGCATTGTATTAATCATTTGAAAGGTAATTTGTGTTCTCTGAAATTGTTGCATAAAACTCTTTTAAGGTTAGATGAGGTAGATAAAGGAATTTTCATTAATATGTGTACCTATTACTTTTCAGTCAATGCAACAGTGAAGCTGTGTTGCTAATTAGTAGTAATCTAATTCAAAATTCGAATAAATAATTAGCATCACCCAACATATTTAAAAGGAATTTTTCAAACCGAAAGACACTTCTAGCATGTCTAACTTCTTAACAATGTTAACATTAGAACTTAAACTCACAATGTCTCCTACATTGGGTCAAAACTGACTTGATTCAAGACTTGTAAATTATCATAAACATGACTAATAAATATTCAATCTTCATTCGTATCAATTACTTGTATTAAAGATGTGTTCAATGATGAACTTGCATCGAGTTCGTAATCGGCAAAATTTAAAAAGTCAATCTTGGGTTGAGTTTAACAAACATTGTCTGAATGAAGTTTTAGAGCATCTCCAAGTTGTGTGTGTATATTTTTGTGTAAATTATGATTGATTTACACAAAAAAATTTAGATTATTATTTTTAGTTAAAGAGTAAAAATATATTCCTGTTATGTTAGGACTTACATAATTTTTACAAACCTACTTAATATAGGTTTGATTTTTTAATGAAATGAGAAATAGGAAGGAGAAATGAAATATGCTGATAGGGAGGAGAAATGAAACATGATGATGTGTCTGTGTAAAATAAATAACAATTTTACATATTAGTAACGTGACAGTATATCTTAACAAAAAAAATAAATTATTTTAATAGATTGCTGGAGATGCTTTTAATATTCTCATATTGGAAAATAAAATTACAAATATCAAAAGAATATGGTATAAAGTGCTCCATTTTAAATCTATTTTATAATAGAAAAAAAGAAGAAGTTAATTACCAAATCTGTTGGGCTTCAAAGTCGGGGTGTATGTATAAATTAAATGACTAAATACATATTAAAGTACATTCAGGATAAAACTTTTAAAAAATATTAAACATAATAAAATGTTTAATCATAAATTTTGTTAATTATATGATTACACATCTAAAATATCATAATAAATAATAAAATTTTTTTATTTATATATTATACTCGGTGGTAAACAGAACGGGTTCGAAGTATAACGATTTTTACTTTCATTTTTAAATTTGTTTTTAATCCTATTAAATGAAAAAAAACCATTTTCATTAAGGCGGTACCGGGACCCGTTTGCACTTTGCAGCCCAACAGCCTCCTGCCATATAATTTCACATTCGCTCATCGATCTGTGTCCATGCTCTTTAACCATATACATACAAATATATGTAATACACATCACTATATATAGATTTATATATATATAAAAAAGGTCTTAGTCCTAGCGAATTTAGGAAGATCCCTAACGCCAAAGTCGAAGACGAACTGGAGCTTCATCACCTGCTCTCTACTTCTTTAATCCCATCGGCTTCAGTCAACACCCAATTTGCAGAATTTGTAGCGAAAGATTCAATCTTAATACTTTTGTTTCTTTTTACTTATATTAGGGTTAGGGTTTCTGATGTGTAAGACTCACTCCCGTGAAGTTTTTATTGTAAATAGATTATAGAACCGTAGATTTTATTTATTTATTTATTTTTTACTATTTTGGAATTTTTGTGGAAATCATGTAATTCAGGGTAAACTTAGGTTTAGGGTTAGGGTTTTGAATTGTTTGATTTTCTTTTTGGTGTGTGCTTGTGGTGATGGAGATGGAGAGTTCACGTAGATTATTTGATAGATCGGGAGAACCGGGTCTCAAGAAACCAAGATTGGCCGAAGAGACCGTCCTTGCAGAGCGAATTCGTAGTTTGAATGGCCGCCCTTTAGTCCGGATTTCGGATCCGGAAACCTTTTCTATGTTGTCCAGATATCGGGCTAATGATTTAGAGGGTAGTGATTCAGTTCGAGGACCTTATCAACAACAGGCTCAACAGCAGCAACATCAAGAGCTTGTTATTCAGTACAAGACTGCGTTGGCGGAGCTGACATTTAATTCCAAACCCATAATCACTAACTTGACTATTATCGCTGGTGAGAACTTGCATGCTGCGAAAGCAATCGTCTCAACCATCTGCTCAAATATTCTTGAGGTGATTACAGTTTCTACTGTGTGGCTGTTTGTATGTTCAATTCAGTGACGCTTTCGCTGAATTGTAAAGAAAATGGGTTAAAAATGGCGCTCTTTTCTTTTCTTTTTTTTTTTTCTTTTCCTTTTCATTCGAAAGTATATAATTGTAGCTGAATTAGTGTTATGATCAGTGCCTTATGCCTACAAGTTAGTGAAATAAAGAGAGAAATTGTAAATAGGAGTTGGGATCAGTGGATTCTTTATGCTTTCATTAAATCATTGTCTGTTGTGAAGAGTGCATTTTGAGTTAGTGGATATGAATCATGGGTTTTCACCAATCCAGCGAGTTGCTATTTTTGCATTCAAAGTTCATCCAATGCTTTCAGTTTTGTTCAGTGTTAATGTGATTGGGGACCTAAGTGCCTGCTTGGGGAGGGGCATGGTAATGATAATGAGCATTAAGGAATGAGTTTGTTAACAGTATAACAAAAAACATTGCCAATTGAGTTGCATTTTGTTGCCTTTTAGAGCTGTTTCAACTTCTGGTGGTGTTGTTCCTTGAGACTTTTACATCAATTATATCTCCTTGGTGCCATATTACATAAGTTGATGATCCTCAGTGCAACTAACAATTACTGAGAAAAAAAAATGTGGTTTGGCCAGAAACTAAATTGTAACCAACATCTATCATGCGTACCTTGTGTCATGTAAGCTCCGTGTAAGCTCCATAACATGTTGTTTAATTGCCTGCACAACTATATACCTGCACTGTACTTATGTGAAGCCTACAAAAGTTTACATTGTGTATTAATCAGCCACTGCAGCCATTTTGCTGAGTTGGTGGTTGAAGAGAGCCAACTTCGAGATGTAGAATATGATATGTTGCAGGAAAAGAAATGCGGGCAAAATTCAGATGGATCAATTTTTATCTCGTGGGCCCAATAAGGAGCACAAAAAAGAGTTTATTTTCACTATCGCCATTAGTGCAATTTCAAGAGAATATAAATGTTAAAACAGTTTATGCAATATGTAGCAAAAACATTGGCCCAATTTGGTTTGGTTAGAAGTTTTACCTTTCAGATGTCATATTTTACTAGTCTTCACTTATTTTATGTTTCTTTTATTGTTTGTGATGCTTGTGTTCAAAATAGATCGTTTAGAGCGTTCTTTGCATTATGAACATTTATCTGGAAGAAATTGACATTTATCTTGGGGGCTTATATGATTTCATCTTGTGTCAGTTATATGATTTCATCTAGTGTCAAAATTTCATATTCAGCTGTCTGCTTTGTGATATAATCCCGCAATGATAATTTGAGAAGTTGACCTTACTACTGTTTGAGTTTAACTGGTGGTGGACAGGAAATCTTTTTATTTTCTATCAATCTGAAAGTCATGGTTCAGCATTCCAATTGGTTCTCAGGTTTTTATATCTTACTTCATGGTCTGTTGGAAGTTGAACCTGACATTCTCTATACCTTTTTTGCAATAAGTGAGGATGCATAATGTAGAACTGGCAGATGGGAAGTGCATGGATGCTTGTTAACATTAGGACAGGCATATGGTTAAATTGTGGTCGCAATTTTGTGCTAGCGAGATGCTGATAGAATAACTTCTGCTTTCCAGGAACAGTATATATGGAAACACGTAGTACATTGGATTAACAGTCTTGAATAATACAGAGACAGAAAGATCACTTTCAGAGAAAGTAGTAAAAGGGATCTTCCGTCAAACATGGTAAAAGGAGTATAGGCAAAATATATGGCATCTTCTTAGACATTTGAGATATTGGCATGCACTTAGGGGGTGATACGGTTGATCTTCATTACTTAATAGAATGAAAGCTTTACTTATGTTATTGTTTGGATGCCCTTATTGAGTTGTTCCTGTCATCACTATATTCTCACAAGCGCTTGGCATATTGTGTCTGATCCTAAAAAATTATTTGCAGGTTCCTAGTGAGCAAAAACTACCATCGCTCTATCTTTTAGACAGTATTGTGAAGAATATTGGCAAGGACTACATTAAATACTTTGCTGCCAGGCTACCAGAGGTTAGAATTATATTTAATGTGTAGTTTCTTGTCACTCATTACCCATTGTGATGAATGATACATTTTGTATGTGTATTGTGTAATTAAAGTTTACAACAAGGATTACCTAAGAGAACTTTTGATCAGCATTCCGTTTTGATTCTCGATTGATGTAAATTTATCACTGTAAGAACTAAGAATTTAAGATTGTAATTTACGGTTATCCTTCCCATCTTCATGGGTCCGTTGACTAATAATTCAGCCTTCTTCGAAATACAGAACAATATTGTCACTTCAATGCATCTTTGCTATGTTTTTCTGCTTCTGTATGCTTGATGTTCCAGTATTTATCACTTTCTATCTGCACATTGTTTTTGGTGCATCTTCAGGTTTTCTGCAAGGTATACAGGCAGGTTGACCCTTCAATACATCCTGCTATGCGCAATCTTTTTCGAACTTGGAAAGGAGTGTTCCCTCCTCACTCACTTCAGATGATTGAGAAAGAACTTGGCTTTTCCCCTCCTGCCAATGTTTCATCTTCAGGACCTAGGACTGATTCTGAGTCTCAACGCCAACCTCATAGCATTCACGTAAATCCCAAGTACTTGGAGGCAAGGCAGCGCCTTCAGCAGTCGAGCAGGGTAAGGACAATTATAAAATCATTATTTGGGTGTGAACTCGAAATTTATTTTGAATTATATTGACATATTAAACTTATTCAATGCACCTGTCTAGTGGAAAATTTTGACATGTTCCTGATAATGCATGTAACGCTTGAGTTACCACATCATATTACATCAAGAGTTTCATTCAGAAGGACAACCCTATTGATTTCATGGAATTCTATGTTTCAAAATTAAAATATCATTTGTGGTATGTAATGGCCAAATACATGATAATATATTAGTGTTATGTATACTTTGTGCATAGCTATGCATAAATTACACAGGTTAATCCAATGTCCATGGGAGATATAATGTGCCTAAACAAGATGATTTCATATTAGATTGTAAAATATAATTTTTGACAGTTGAGTGGGGACCAACCTTAGAACTTCCCTCCTTTTAGCAAAGAGAAAATATATTAATCTTGCGGAATAGACTTCTAATCTCTGGGGCATCATATCCCCAATGAAACAGATATATACCACAAATTTCCAAGTTATTGGTTTCAAAATTTATTCTTTTTGGGTTTAGAATATTTCCTCTTTAAACATTGCTGGATCAGGTTTCCATGGTGGGTGTACCTCTTTATATTTATTTTTTTATTCTTTTTATTTGAATATTTTTCTTGGACTGCCACAATTTCATACTTGATTTTTTCTATACAAAAAAAGAAAAAGAAAAGGAAAAGATCATTATGGACTTTATGCCGACATATTTTGCAAAAAATGAAAAATATGTATAATGGGCATTGCTTTTCACAGCATAAGACTTAGGATCACATTTATTGCTTCTTTGTAGACAGTTGTTGTGGTTAGCTGTTTAAGGACGACTGCTTTTATTGATGTTCTGTAGTGGGAAGAACGGAGGGAAGAAAGAGTGGGAGGGAAAGAGTGAATGAGGAAGGAGTTATCCCTTAATTTGTAGAGGGAGGAAGGCCAAGAGAAAGGATGTAAAGAGGGAGGAGGTCTCCGTATGGGCCTACCAAAAATATTTTGTCCAAAAGAGAAGTGTGGAGCCCTTTTTTTATTTTTATTTTTTATTTTTTTATTTTTTCCCTTTGGCATTTTTATAGTGCATCTTCTACTTTGTGCATTTCTTGCATGCCTCTTTTTTTTCTTCCTTCTTTTTTATCCATGCTTCCCACATTTCCTTTGGCAACCATGGAATGTGCACGTGTTTTGTGCAAATGAAATATGAATAATCATCAAAGTGCTACTGAAATGGAGAAACATCAATGGTGTGTGTTTGCCTGTTGGTACAGAATACTTCTATATATTTTGATAGACAGCAAGGATTGACCCTAGTGTCTGCTTCATAATGACCAAAGAAGATTGTATATAATATTGAGAATAACAGTCGTATTCTGCTTGTGGAAGCAACACTATGAGTCATCTAATCTTTAAACTTGAATGATTTATTCCATTGCTTCATTTACTTAAAGTGCATTCTAAGTTATATATCATAGTTGGGGATTTGTGGATTTTGTGTTGAAACTTTGAAGAAAGCCACCGAAAATATGTTCATATTATTCTGGTCGTACTTTATTCCCCTTGTGCCCTATTACTAGAAATAGTCTTAATAAATCTTACTGGTTTCACAAGCACATACGCACAACCCATAGACACACATGTACTTTCACAATAGACTATTACTCTCCAAAGCTTATGAAGATTGATGGTTACTCTCCTTCCTACTTTGAAGTTATGTGAACTTTGAATGGATCAGTCTGCCGTTTAAATTCCATTCCTTTACTTGGCTTTATGTGATGTGAAGGCAAAAGGAGCAGCCAGTGACATTACTGGGAGCATGGTTGACTCACCTGAGGATGTAGAGAGACTGGAGAGAATAGCCAGTGCAAGTTCAGGAAAGTCGTTGGTGGATCCTCCAGTTAAGATCCATGTATGGGAAGCAATTTTGGATTTTCATATGCTTCATATATGCTTTCATATTGTTTCACAGTATTGTTCATTTTGCAGAATATTCAGCATCCTCATAGGGATGCACCAAGTGAGCCTGTTCATGAGTGGAACGTTGGTGCAACATATGGAGATAATGAAAATAATTATGATATTTCTAGGCATTCGGGCTCCAGAATCAGAACATCCAGTGAGAGGGTTATGGAACAAGGATCTGGCAAGCCTTGGTATGGAGATGGTGGCCATGTTGCTGAGACAATATCCAACCAAGGAAATGGTTTTAATTTCAAACATGGATTTCCAGGTTACCCGATCCCCAGGTCTGCGAAGTATGATGCAAATCTGCAGCCAATGCAGAGCATTGCAAGTAGAAGCAACAGTGGGGTAGATAGGAGCTGGAAGAACTCTGAGGAAGAGGAGTATACGTGGGATGATATGGGCTCAAGATTGATAGATCGTGGTGCAGCCAATAGCTCAAAGAAAGAACATTGGATGCCTGATGATTCAAAAACATGGGTAAGCATTCAAGAATGCTAATTGGATTATCTAGTTAACAGTTGGTAAAAACACTTCCTACTTGAGAGTTGAGCCATCAACTGAATATTAACATTAAGTTACTTCTGGAATGTGTCTGCTTTTTGGTGCCCCATTCAGTTTCAGACTACATAGACTTATTTGACAAAAAACAAGTTTACATGCCACAGCGTATGCTTTCATGATTAGTAGAAAGGGTTGGCACTGTACTGATTTTTGTCTTGGGATACACATCTGGAAACACGGTTCCGCTTCCATTCACCACACTTGAGTTTAGCAATTCAAAAAAGAAACCAAACTTATTTCTTTTATTAGTTTTCTTTTCAACAAGGGTTAACGAAAATAAATGAATTTTATAAGATAGAGTTTCATGGGAATTTGTTTTAAGGGGAAGTTCACTGCACATGGATAACTTATATAGAATGCTCTGGGTTCTACCACCAGCCCTTAGCTTGAATGGTATTCCTGCCTCTCCAAGGGGTGAGGTTCAGGGTTCAAGTCCTGGTCAGGATACAGGTTTATATGTTGTACTTACCCAAAAAAAAAGAACAAATATTTTTTTCCATCTTTTTCCTGAACTGCATGCTGTTCCATATTTGCTTGTGTTGGAATGGTGAGAATAGCGTGTGATCCCTTCTCAAGTGTTTGAGTGTCCTACATATTTTATGCTGATGCCGCAATTAATGTCATGTAAGTTCCTTTACATTACACAAGTTATTTGCTAGGGTAGTGATAGGCAGTGGGGCTTGTGGGCCCCTTGTGAGTGATTGGCTAGTCCGACTTAAGATTGCAAATCGTTTTTCCTATTTGCTAATGTTCAACCAGTTTTATGATTCACACTAATTTTATCCATTGTGACCTGGAGGTCTAAGGTTCAAAAAGGGAAACCGGCCTCTCTGTATGCGCCTATGCGGAGGTAAGGCTGAGTACATCTGACCATTCCCAGATCTTGCGGTGGTGGGAGACTTGGTGCATTGGGCTAGCCCTTTTCTTTTTCTAGTTGTATCTTGTTGTGTAATTTTAACTTGGCTGAGAAAATTTCTGTGTATAGAAGTAGGAGTAAGTTTTGTACATATGGTGCCTAAATAATTTTCAATAACCATTCGCTGCCTTGTTATTATGCTGAAACATGTTCTTGTCCTGTTGCCTTGTTAGAGTATGATTTCTTTTCTAAAATTAAGTTGGTTAATTTAGTTCGGATCTTATTAAAGCTTAACGCACAACTGTAAATAATTTACAACAGGTACAGGATTTTGAAAACCACCTCCGAAAACCACAAAGGAAGCATGATGTTGGTTCGAAGGTTGATGCAGAAACTCCGACTGATTCAATACCCATAGAACAGAAAGACCAAGCAAAATTTGGGCATCTGATCTCATCCCTGCGGAAACAGGAGCTATACTCAGCGAATGGGACGAGTCATTCTGGGACTGGTAAAATTATTTCAGGTCATTCAGAAGGCCACCTTACCCCTTTCAGTGGATTGTCGCAAACTGCCAGTTCTTCTCTGGTCAGGACGTCACTCCAATCACAAATGGGGCCTTCTCAAATTGGAGCCTCAAGCTTTGGGTTTTTGACAAACTCAGTGTCCTGTTCCACTGGAATCATCGGGCAACAACCACACTCTCTGAGAGCTGCATCACCTTCTGGACAGTCACCCATGCACCAACATCCTTGCTCACCTTCATTTTCTATGTCCCATCCCCCTCAACTATTGCATAATTTATCAGAGCAAGCCCTTCCACAAGTTCAGCCTCTGCCTCGAGCAGATTCGAAAGCATCTCGGTATCCTGGACAGTCAAACATGGGGCCTCATAATCAATTTTCTCAGGATTCTTTGCCAATACCTCCTCATAATGTTCATTTGCGTAACTTACAAAAACTGCAGCCTCAAAATTTATTTACTTCATCTCCTATGATGCCTTTTCTTCAATCAGGGCACCATATTCCCTTTTCACAACCGCCTCAGCCTGACACAACACAGCCTCCTCTGCCAACTGGCCCTCGTCCTACCCAGTTTACATCCGCAGGGCCCAGGGCTGCATCAGCATCTCTACTAAATCCACCTTCCCATGACAGCACTTCAGCTTCCACAGCTCTTACTCAGGGAAAGATAGAACGGCCAGCATCGCCACCTGGCCCTTCACCTTCCTCTCTTATAGGTAGTGCATCAACACAAACTTCAAACGTGGTGAAACCTGTCCCTGCTCCAGTATCATGTCTTTTGAGCACATTGGTTGCGAAGGGCTTGATATCTGCGTCAAAAACAGAGTCAGCTACTTTTGTGCCATCCCCGATGCCTATTCAAAGTCAGGCCCAGTTCCCAGAAATTACTACAACTGGTTCAGCTTCAGTTACTTCAGATCTAATTTTCTCTGCTGCCCCACGTTCACCAACCACAGACGAACAATCTCTCCCCAAACCTGCTGCTAAAATTTCTGTTTCCTTACCTCAATCTACTAAAGCAGAGATAAAAAATCATATTGGCTTTGAATTTAAGCCAGATGTAATCCGAGAGTCACATCCATCTGTGATCAATGAACTTTTTGATGACATTCCCCATCATTGCAGCATATGTGGCTTTCGTATAAAATTTCAAGAACAATTTGATAGACATTTGGAGTGGCATGCACTAAAAAATCCTGAGCTGAACAGTTCATGTAAAATTTCAAGGAGATGGTATTCGAATTCAGGTAGTTGGGTTACCGGAAAGACTAGACTGCTTTTTGGATGTGAACCCACTGGTGTGTTGGCAGATTCTGGCAAGGCAATAGAGAAGAGTGAGCAGATGGTTTCTGCAGATGAAAGCCAATGTGTGTGTTTTCTGTGTGGTGAGCTCTTTGAAGATTTTTACAGTCTAGAAAGGGATGAATGGATGTTCAAAGGAGCTCTTTACCTGACTGTCCCATCTGCGGATGCTGAGGTCAAACCTACAAACGAGGGTGCTGCTCATGGACCTATAGTCCATGCAAAGTGTATGTCAGAAAGTTCAGTTCGTGATTTGGGTCTGGCCAATGGTGTTAAAATGGTAAGCCTTTTTAATCCTTCAAATAATGTGCATGATCATGTTTGCTAGTCTGACCATGATGATGTCTACTTGGTCGTAACTAATTTTGATCCGATTGGTCTCCTGTGCTGCTTGTTTGACTTTCTGGAACTTAAACAATACGTACTTTTCTTTCTGCTTGTCAAATGATGTAACAAGTTAAATTATTATTTGGCAGGAAATGGATGAATAAGGGTTTGAGGTGAGAAAGAGAAACCGTCATAATTCAGATCCAGGTTCACTAATTGTGGCTTACATATGCATTGTCTTATGTGCCAATCCACCTGTGCCTTGAAAAGTGCTGTCAAGAGCTGTGTTTTTTCCCCTCTATTTTTTCTGTTTCAATATCTTTTTTGAAAGTTCAGAACTGAAACAAATATATAAATGCCTGATGCTTCACACCAGTTTTCTTCTCTAATGTGGTTGACATGTTGTTCTGTGTGTTTGTTTTTTTTCATTTTGCTAAAGCAAGATTTTGGCAGAGGTTCACTATCTGTTGCTAGCAGCAAAACAAGCGCATGTTCGTTTAGCTTCACAATCATCAGGAAACAAGCCACAGTATTATTGAAGTAGTAATGAGCTTGAACATTTTTTCTTCTTTTCATTCAAGTTTTTTTGATCGAGCACTGCTTTTTAAACATTTTGTTACTGGCAAATGGATTCAGTTGTAGTTATCATGCATAAGAGAATCTCAATTTATTTAATGGCTTTTGTTAATACAAGTTCTTTATTCTCTTACACGTTTTCAACACCGCTTACATTTTAATCACTGGTGATGACCTGTCTTTATGAAATAGTATAATCCTGTGCCTGAGGTTTCTTTAGAAGGACTTTATTTATTTGTTTTTCCTCCCAGAAAGTACTCATTTTGAGAGAGTTAATCTTTTTCAGTGGCATAGATTACTAACAAATTTGGAGTTTGTGTATTTGGAAGCTTCATTTCATTTGCTTTATTATATACTCCACTCTACAAAAGAGCTCACTTGGAATTGTATTGATCTCATTTAGTGTGAGCATGAATTTGTAACTCCCAACCATTAATTTGAAATCCATGGATTTGCTGGGATAACATGAGCACCAGCTTTAGTGAAGTTCTTATTAACTATGATGGTTGGACATATAGTCTTTCGAATCTACGTTTATCAGGATTTAGGGTTTCAAAAACTAAAATTTACCCTCTAGATCTGACAATGCCAATGCTAATTCATGTGAATTTCTTTCTTTTGATATTGTGAGAAAATTCGTATATAATAAACTGTGAGCAAGGTGCAGAATTTGTATCTAGATCTCTCGGTCCCTTCATAGGTTCATTTGCTGAGTGTCATATACCAGACGTTTAGACCAGAGTACATAACAAAGATTAATAATGCTCAAATATTTTTTTTTCCCAGTTTAATAATACTCGCATTTCACAATATATATGTACGTACGTACGTACCTAATGTGAAATTATTACTACATCTGAAGTAACATGTATGTTTGTCACTACTCATATACGTACGCACATTACAAACACAGCTTTTTATGGTAAACCCTTGAGTTGTTGGGTGTAAATGTAGTCCAAATGAGCCTCTGCAATCACCCTTCTCTTCACACAGTTGACAGAGTCTTCATCATCATCAGTGACCTCCAACCCAATTAGCTGTGCCCAAAGGGAAAGAAGTAAGAGCTACAAATAAAATACACACGGATATGTAATATGTGTGTGTGTGAGAAGCAAAAATGTTCTTTCATTAGGGAGATCGTCTTCAGATAATTTCATTATAGACGAATCTGCATGATTGATGGCCTTCACCTTCTGCTTGCCTATTATACACAACTCTGAAATTAATTAAATTTTTTGTTAATAATAAAAAGAGAATTGGCCAATCCCATTCATACGAAGACAAAAGTAGTAATGATGATCGTGATGATACATATGCATATAGAAGAATATGAAATATATATACCTTGATAGGGTGGTAAAGATCAGTCGAGCAGATGTTACTAAAACAATTAAAGAGGAAGATGAAAAACACTATTGGAATTTGCTTCATGGTGGCTTCAGATTCTGTGTGTGTGTGTGTGTGAGAGAGAGAGAGAGAGAGCAGGGTTGAAGGAGGGTGTTGCAGTTGTGTGTTGCATATGTATAAGAAGAAACAAATAAATGGCTGTTGGTAAGTCACATGAAGACCTCCCAAACAAGGGTGTTATGACCTTACAGCAGTGTTTGGTGGGGCAATACCAATTTCTGCCTTCTATTCCTTCCTAGCTAGCTAATTAATTCTTCGTTCATCCCCACCACCATATATATATATATATCTTGATCATGTGATCATACCAGACCATGCAGAGAGATACAAGGTCTTTGTCAATGTGGTCCAGTAAATTAATTTCAAGATAAAAACAAAAGTTGTAAATCAGAACAAGTCAAAGTTTTTATCAGTGAATTAGAAGCAACAAGTCAATATTTATATCTGCTTTGAGTCAACAAGTCAGTTTTTTGGACTGTATAAACAGACAGCTTTCTCCCACAACACCATTGCCTTTACACGTGCCAACAGTTAATTTTAGGATTAATGACCTCACTTAAGGTTTTGTTCTAATTACAATCATGAAATTACACCTTCTTGTTCACTTGCGGTATTCTCTAAATTATTATTATTATTATTATTATTATTTTACAAACGGTATTGTCTAATTAGAACCATGAAATTACACGGTGTTCACTTGCCTCACATTTGTTACAAATACTTTCTTCCGTTTAAAAAATAAAATAAAATTAATGCATGATTTGACCAAAATGCCCATTTATCTATCTAAAAAGGATTTGTTAACCATACAGTCTTAATTTTAAGCTTAATTATTGCTTTTTCACTCTTGTTTATTGAAGTCCAAATATTCAGTTACCTTTTGGACAGGGATATTGACGATTGAATATTCACATTTTAGTGCCTTTGGTTCCTGTACATGGCTACGTTGTAAGCACGGGTTTGACTTGAACTAGTATCCACGTCATGGTTCATAGTCGTGTTATCGGTTGTCGATTCGAAAGAATATCAGTATAAATTGGTTGAATGGTACTGGACCCTTGAAAAAATGTTACGATTCGGTCAATACGTCGTGGTCAATATTGTTAAAATTGAATAGAGAAATCAACAAACCAGTGACTTAGAAGTACCAAGTCCCTACTTCTCAAAAAGATGTTAGGGGTTCGAGTTTCAATGGAGGCACGTGTGTGTGAGTACCAACTAAAAAAAAAAAAAAAATTTGAATAGAGAAACAAAATATGAAGAACACAAGGCAATAATATACGTGGTTCAACCACAAAAGGCATATATCCACAGCACACAAAGCCCAAAGGGTTATATATCTTTTATTATAATAATATATTGTTTCATGCTCATTACAATGGTGAAAACTCCTTTACATAGGAGAAGGCATAATGAGAATATGTAATATTTAAAATGTCTCAATAAGGGTAATTTGGGAATATATGTCATGCGGGACCTATTTTGCCGCAAATTAATATTTTGGTGGTACTTTATATACGTGAGGGGTGTAATATGCACTATAAATATGGTAGAGGATTGTTTTTTGCACTCTTTTTTTACTTTATTTGAAAGTCCTATAAATAAAAAACGGTGATTTTGACTCCCAACAATACTCTTCGTTATACAAATATGTGATTAAAGTTAATTTTGACCGGAAAAGCGGTCTGCAAATGTGTTCGAAGAACATCCAATTTTATTTATTAAGTAAATTTTCAGATTGTATAATTAACTATTTAACACCACATCGATATAATCTCATTTAGGCGTTGTATCACGATCTATTTGCTGAGATGTTAAGGCATAGAATGACTACTGCATAATTTTTAAATAATGTATAGGATGTCCTTTGATAATAGTTGAGATGGCCGAGTTGGTCTAAGGCGCCAGATTAAGGTTCTGGTCCGAAAGGGCTGGGTTCAAATCCCACTCTCAACATATTTAATTTTATTGGTTTTGGGCTAGGCCTATATTGGATTTTTTTTTCCTTCTCAAAACGTTGACGTTTCTGGATGGGCTTACATTTAACTGATTGGGCTAGGCCTATAATGAAGCAGGTTTAAACACACTCTAAATAAAAGCCCAACAGCACCATTGTCGTCGTTGGCTTCTCGACTCGCGGTTCACTCTTTTGACAAAACCCTAATTACCAGTGGAACTGGGGGGTTAAGGTTCAGAGTCACCTACGAAGACTCCAAAAACATTCAGCAGCTGACGCCCAATTTTTTGCCGCCGGTACTCAATAACACTTGACGCTGACGCATCTCCGGTGAGTCGCTTGCTTCTCTGTCTACATAACACACGTATATACGCTGTGTGTATTGATTGCCCTACGTTGTGAGAAATAATTACCACAAAGAAGAAGTATGAGCACTATAATTCTTGCCTTTTCTATATTGATTCTTGGGAATTCCTTTTGATTTCTTATTAACATGATTAAGCTACTTCATACCCACATTAGGGATTTGTCTCTCATCAATATAACTCGAGTCTTTGCATCAAATTTGTATCTGTTGCTTTGTATTCTTACACAAAACCTTTAAAGATGGAGTTTTGCGTTATGTAGATGTTAGCAAGTGTAATACCTTTGTCAAATCATTATGACCATTAATCTTTACAGTATGCTTATCTGTTGCTTTGAGATTAGTTGAAGTTTTATATACTGGAAAACAAACAATTCAAGTGGCTGAACCTAAATATGGACTTGCATAAGTGAAGGGTCTTTCATTAAGGAATGTTTTGTTTCTCTGCTATTATGATTTCTTTTTCTTTTTCAATTACATGATGCCCCTTCTTATTTTCTGCAGGAAATTGGGTTTCTTATTAACCTAAGAATAAAATGAGATTAGAGAAGTGTTGGTTCTGTTCCTCCACCGTATATCCAGGGCACGGAATTCAGTTTGTTCGCAATGATGCAAAGGTTGGGTGGTTAGCTTTTCATTTGAGTTTTCTGTCCTAAGTTAATTTTTGTTTCATCTGTGGGCTGTGTTGTGCTATGTTTTTCCATTGCTTATATTTTTTTAGCTCACAAAGTGGTGGAAATGATTGATTTGCGCAAAGGGATTTCAATAATAATGTACAATTTTGTTGGGGAATCTGTTATCTCTATTATATTTTTGAATGTGTTTAAATTGTTGAGTGTCTTATCATAAACTATTGAAGTCAAGTCTATGTAGCTGTTCACAACATTTTATACAACAGATGATTATGAATTCGTGGTATACATTTAAAGATAGCAAGTAAACAGGTTGACGTTTGTTTAAAGAGTACATCACATTGGTAGCTGAAAATTAAGATATATATTTTTCAATGGTAGCGCCTCTAGTTTCTAATGAGTCTTCTCTTATGCAGATTTTCAGATTTTGTAGATCTAAATGCCACAAGAACTTTAAGATGAAGAGGAATCCTCGTAAAGTAAAATGGACCAAGGCATATAGGCGGTTGCACGGAAAGGACATGACACAGGCAAATATTATTTGCTTTAGCTTCGCTTGATGTTGCCTTTTTATGGAATTGAACAATTTTGGTGTCAATATATTTGTTAGTTATACTGTTCCGTTATTTCCAGGATTCAACCTTCGAGTTTGAGAGGAAGAGAAATAGGCCCGAGAGATATGACAGGAATCTCACAGAGAACACCCTGAAGGCCATTAAGACAATCGATAAAGTCAGAGTAGATAGGGAGGCTAGACACCATGCACGAAGGTTCTTTCTTTTCTTATCTTTTGAACTTTTTTTTTTTTTTGTTTTTCTGCTGCATTATGGGGTGTCTAATGAAGTGTTATTGAAATTTTTGGCAGGATGAAGGGGAAGAAAGCCAAGGAGCAGAGGGAGGCAGCAAAGGAATTGGAGCAGAGCATTGACATGGTCAAAGCTCCGGCTGCACTCCAACAGGAGCCATCTCTTACACTTCCAAAAAACAAAGTCAAGGTCTCTCAGCCGCAAGCAGAGGAGAATCACCTCATGGAGGAGTGAGTTCAGTAGTTTATTTGTTGCTCCACCCAGTTGTTGTCCATCTAATTATCTTAGGCTGTTACATTTTATTTACTTCCTGGGACGTGTTTGTATTCCGTAGAAAAGCTTTTGTTTGGGATTTGGCATTGCTTGCATGAAGGAACCTCATTATTGTTTTTAATTTTAGATACACATCCTTTGAACCTTATATATTACTGATTATTAAATTCATTGCTGTAAAATTAAAGTGGTGAAGGTTGAAAACAAGGAAAAGCATAAAAGATGAATCCAAATGTAACTATACTTTTAGACCTTAAGTTATTACCTTTTTTCTTCAGGGTATCAATTAACTGTGCACCGAGTCATTTGCTTAGCATGCAAAATTCCGTTATGTGGAACCCGTTATACCCTAAGTTCTTTACATCGTGACCATATTCTCTTCCCAATTTATAACCTTAGGAGTGGGCAAAACATTAATTTCTATAAAAAGTTTGCAAGTGCATAAATGGGCATCAGTAAGCTTTTTAAGTCTTTGCTGATGACATGATGAAACTCTAAATGCATTTTGTTTGAGAAAATATAATTTCTTAGTTTACTTGATCAAATTCTTTGTTAATTTAGTTGTTGTAATGTAGAGTATTTTTCAATGATCACTCAAATATGGTCAAGTTGTAATCTTTCAATCCTTTTGTGACAGATTTTGACAATTGTGGTCAGACCTACACTATTTAATATACTTGTGTGTTAGTAGAATTCATCATCTTGTGCTCATTAGTCATTGCTCGTCCATGGCCAACCCATTTTGGGTATATGGCGTGGTTACCCTCAACCTTGAACTTCACTCGACAGCTGTGTGATAAAACCCTGTAGAGAAAAACCAGGAAGACGCATATTCGAGTGTGGCTTTGGACTAATAAAATCTGAAAGACAAACAAATAGACCGGATTACATCAAAATGCAGAGAGTAGAAAATATTACTGTGAACCAGGATTATCCCATATATTGTATGGAAAGTATGTTTCCATCCGAACATAGATGTTGCGTATAGGCATACAACCTTAAGCAAGAGTCATGGAATATATTATATATTTGATTTCATAACCTAACCTCTTTTTATGGAAACTACAAAAAAACTGAGGATAATTTTAAGATGATCGCAGCATGCTTTGAAGGGTTGACTTGTTATTTTATGGTTTATTATTATTAACTATAGGTCTAAGTGCAAGAAACCACCTGGCCGTATAAAAAATGTGCAAAAAACAATCCTATTAGGAAGAAAGAAAAAAAAAAATGCATATAACTCCTTGTATGATCCGTCTTTTGAGCAAATTGTCCCCTATTGAATAAAATTATTGAAAAATAGTAGTTGGTGATATCATATTTTTTTTGTTTTTTGTTTTTCTGAAAATTCAAAAGTACCCTTTTTGTTTAACAATAATGCCCCTACTATTTTGTTTGGATGCACTTGAAGATCCATCCAATGAAATCTTTCTCTCTAATATTTTTTATTCTTTCTAAAATATCTCTACGTTGCCATTTAGTAATATGTTACCAAGAAGACATTTATTTTATTTATTTATTTATTTTTATGATACTAAGTGAGATAGAATATTATTTATTTCAATATATAATATATATATATATATATATATATATATATATAGAAACATAATCTTTCCTACAAATATTCTTTTTTAATTTTATTATCTTTCCTACAAATATTCTTTTTTTAATTTTATTACTTCTATATATTTTCCGTTCCTAGAACTCTTCTTCTATAAGAAAATATAATCTCTTTCTAAATTTTTTTTCTCTAAAATTTCTGTTTCTCTCTCTCTATATATATATATTTTTCTTTCTAAAAGAGAGCACCCAAAAAATTTTTATAGTATCAACATAGAGTACAACCTGGGAAGACGTTGCTTGACCTACTCCAAAATATCAACAATCCAATTACTACCTCTTCAATAAGATAAAGAGAAAAAATTAGGAACAAGGTACAATTTTTGGTAATAAATAGATAGAAATAATAATAATAATAAAGGATATAGAAAATTACTTCTTGTATTTAGAGGAGGCCACGTCAAAGCAATATTAGGAAGTTTGGACGAGTATTTTTATACTTATCAAAAAAAAAAAAAAAAAAAAAAATTTACACTTAAATAACATATTCTTTCTTCAAATTTTTACTTGTGCACGAATATAACACGCCATTCCTACTAGTTAAACAGTGTTGTCTAAATTCAAACCAGCAAAAAATTGGGCTAGATTCGAATTACCCAACCCAAATTTCACCCCTAGGCCCTAGTTCAACTTCCACCACCACCATGAACACAATCCATGAACACTACCCACCCTGCCCACCGCTTAACTTCACACCACTGCCTACTGGTACACCTTTGAGACCAATTTGATACAATGCGCAAATCCACCTTGACTTAATTAGTGAGTGAAAAAGCGCAAATCGGAATGGAATTGATGTTCTTTGATCTTGGTTGCTGAAGTAAAGAGCATTAAATGAGACCGAGACATCCCTAGGGAGGGGGGATTAATTGTGCGTTTAAAGGCACTACTTAAATGGCCATTCAATTGGTTTTGGGTCTTTGTGGTGGGTATAAAGGTAAAGCATTTACAAAAATTACTGTATCCAATCAAAATTCATAATTAGCATATCTCATTATTTTTTAAAACAAAGGACCAAATAGCTCAGCGGTATCAGTCCTTATTTTCAAAAGGGAGGTTGGGGGTTCGAACTTTAGTGAAGATAGGGTGTGTGCACGTATTTGTTTTAACTTCCAAAAAAAAAAAAAAAAATCATTTTGAAAAGCAACCACATGTCATTTGAAAAGCATTAACTTCCAAAAAAAACAAAAATCATTTTGAAAAGCAACCACATGTCATTTGAAAAGCAATGTCCGAGATCATTGCTGTATTTAAATCATGTGCAAAATATAACTGGTTAAAGTACCAAAAAATAAAAATTCTCCCCCACTTGAATTATTGCTCTTTTGTAAATAATCCTCCTGAAATAAAAATTATTTCCCTGAATTATTGATTTGTTGCAATTAAGGGCAAAATTATTACAAAGACTATTTTACCCTTTCTCATTAAAATTTTTATTTTTTATTAAATTATTTTTTCTCTTCTCTAAATATTAATTATACTATTTACCTTAATTTTATTATAAGAATCAATTTATTATAAAAATAAAAAAAAGATAAATAGATTTGTAACTACTATTTTCTAAAATGATTAACTTATTATTTAAATTTTATTATTTATAATAAGACGTATTATAACTAGTTTAACCTTTTTTAGAGTTGAAATATATATATATTTTCATACAAAATAGTGATGAAAAATTAATAAATTAGTTAAATAAAAATACATTTTTTATGTAATATATTCATGAAAAATAAAAAATAAATTAAAATTAAAAAAAAATTTCTATTAAAGATTTTTATTTAAACAATTAATTTAAAAAATTAAAGGTAAATATATGTAAATTTAATGAATAATATGTCATCAAATTAGTATGAACTTTTTTTATAATTTATCTCAATAAGAAAATTAGATCAAGTGTAATTTAATAAGAAAAATTATTATGGTCATTTAATGAAATATAGTAGAAATATAGTAGAGACACTATCATATTTTCATATTTGCAACAAAATATGATAGTTAATTCAGTTTATTTACAAATTCAAATATGGTTAAGGTTTTTTTTTCTTTTTTTCTACACTTTATTCTAATAATAATGATAATATATATATATATATATATATATATATATATATATATTTAAACAAATAATAATGTTCTTTTACCATGGCGTGCAACTTCTACCAAAAATGAAATAAAAAAATAAAAAACCTTTTTCAAAAAAGAGAAAGCCCTAATCTAATCTCTCCCCCCCCCCAATCTGCGGACCGCATCAGTGGTGTCAGTGGGGAGTCTGCTGAATCTACACACCCAGAAACATGGCTAAGAAGAATAGGGATAAGAAAAAGAAAGAAAAAATAAAGTATGGAGATGGGTCTGAAAGGGTGGAGATTGAAACTGGTATTGGGGTAGTCTGTGGAAGTGGTAAAGATGGACGTGTGGAGTTTGGTAATGAATCGGAATCTAAAAGCTGTACTCATGTAGGGACTGAGAGTGGATCTGGAAGAGGTACTGAGCATGGTTTGAAGGTTGAAAAGATTGTAGTAGTGGTAAATCACCAGTCTCCCCGGCCAGAACCAAACAAGGAAGAGGAAGAGGCCCACCAACAGACGGGGGAGGAGAACCCTGATTTGGTAGATTTTGTGAGACCCCAATTTGCAACCAGGAATATTGTTATTCATTTATGCTTATATATATATATATATATATATATATAGTTTGTTTGTATTATTGGGTACTTCCCTTATTATTTATTATTGTGTTATTATACTGTAGTTTTCTCGGGTTTTCCATTGCACTGCCAGAGTGATTCATGTGGGTAAATCGTGGATTATGGTCGTGTTTGATGGCGCTGATCGCAGAATGATGCATGCTGTACTTACCAATAATCTTAAAAGTGTTGAACGATTGCATCACAACACCAATCATCATCCCATATTTCCTAGAACTGGTAATTTAGACACGTGGATCAAAAGTAAATCAACTGAGTGGTGGAACTCGAAGCCAGAACACCAAAATGAGACAGTCCGACAAAATGAAAGGAAGGTGGTGGGAGTTCCTCAAAGATGATTTCTGGGTAATCTTTAGGTATAATCCTTTGATCACCTAGTGCCATGTTTATTTTTCTTTTGCTTTGATATTGTTCTTTTCTTTTAATTATAATATTAATGTAAATTATAGGGACGTTACAAGGGGATTGAATGATATTTATTGTCACAAGCATTATCACGGTGACTTAGAAAATGGTGCGGTGGTGACCGAAAAATGTCGAGGTCGACTGATGATTATGGGATGTGAGAATTTAAAATTCCCAGAAGGAGTAGCTAAGGTTCTACAAAGTTTGAAGAACTTGATGAAAAGGACAATTGGTTATCCATTCAAGATTGATGATGTAACCTGTGATCATGATTTCAAAGAAGTTTTACCCAACAATTTGTTGAAATTTATGGACCTTTTGGACGCTTCTAATGTGTAAGTCGAACTTTTGACTAGTAAAATTTTAAAAAATTGTTATTTGCTGTTTTTTTTGTATGACAGAAGATGCAGAGGATCAGAGTTCCTGGTA